GAAATGCAAATCAAAACCACTCTTAGATTTCATCTCACTCCAGTCAGAATGGCAGCTATTATGCATACAAACAACAATAAGTGTTGGCGAAGATGTGGGGGAAAAAGGTACACTCATACACTGCTGGTGGAACTGCAAATCGGTACAGCCAATATGGAAAGCAGTATGGAGATTTCTTGGAAAATTGGGAATGGAACCACCATTTGACCCAGCTATCCCTCTCCTCGGTCTATACCCAAAGGACTTAAAAACAGCATATTACAGGGACATAGCCACATCAATGTTTATAGCAGTACAATTTGCAATAGCTAAACTGTGGAACCAACCTAGATGCCCTTCAATAGATGAATGGATAAAAAAAAATGTGGCATATATACACAATGGAATATTACACAGCAATAAAAGAGAATAAAATCGTGGCATTTGCAGGTAAATGGATGGAGTTAGAGAAGATAATGCTAAATGTAGTTAGCCAATTCCTAAAAACCAAATACCAAATATTTTCTTTGATATAAGGAGGCTGATTCAGGCTGGGGAGCGCACTGGCATGAGTGCAGCCCAGGATCGATCCTCAGTACCACATACAAACAAAGATGTTGTGTCCGCCAAAAACTAAAAAAAATAAATATTAAAAAAAATTCTCTCTCTCTTTAAAAAAGGAGATAGTGGGATAGGGAGAGGGAGCACGGGAGGAATAGAAGAACTCTTGATAGAACAGAGGGATTGGAAGGTAAGGGAGGGGGTATGTGGTTATTAATGATGGAGGAATGTGATGGTCATTATTATCCAAAGTATAGGTATGAAGACACGAATTGGTATGAATATACTATGTATACAACCAGAGATATGAAAAATTGTGCTCTATACATGTAATAAGAATTGTAATGCATTCCACTGTCATATATAAATTTAAATAAAGAAAAAAAATCATACTGTTAAAATTAGTCTTCCACAAAGGGGTACAAACTATTATGATTCCACTTATATGAAATATTAAGAGGCAAAACCAATCTATGGTGAAATAAGTCTGCTTGTATTTGCCTTTGGGAATGTGCTGAGGACAGGGATTGATTAGGACAGGGAATAAAAGAGCTTTCTTAGGTGACAGAAATGTTTTATATCTTTTTTTTTTTTTTTGAGCGAGCGAGCGAGCGAGCGAGCGAGAGAGAGAGAGAGAGAGAGTTTTTAATATTCATTTTTTAGTTTCGGTGGACACATCTTTACCCTATTTGTATGTGGTGCTGAGGATAGAACTCAGCCCCCTGCCATGCCAGGAGAGCGTGCCACTGCTTGAGTTACATCCCCGGCCCCATGTTTTATACCTTGATGGTTGCTTAGTTATATAGATAAATGCATTTGCCAATTTTATCAAATGCTGCACTTAAGATTTGTGTGTTTCACTTGTATTTAAAAAAAAACTACAAACAATATTGAACTAATGATAGACAGGCTTAAGTGTTTGTAGTCAAGTACTCTGAAATCTTCAAACTATTTTAAATTGCCAAAAAAGTATGAGATGCAGGATAACTAATAAGGAATGAATAATAGCTACATGATAACACAAATACAACCAAGCGCTCACTGTAATTTTTTCATTTTCTGAATGTTTGAAAATGTTCATAATAAAATGTTAGGAAAATATACATACCAACAAAACAGTTGTTTCTCTTCTTCTCAAGAACTTGGCTTATATTTCTAATGCTACAGAGTGAGAATTTATTGTTGTTAAGTTTGTCCCCAGATGTTGCTCTTGCATACATGATGTAATTGCCATTTTCTTTTTGTCCTAAATTCTTAGATTCTCCTGGTGTGCACTCTGTTCCAGAATCATGCTGTCAAACAGAATATAGAGTTATATAAACAGGAAGTAAAATAAGGTTTTCAGGTCATCTGATTAAATGTAATTTTCTGATCAGAGAAAAAAATGGAAGCCGAGGACTCTCCTTTAGGAAGGATCTTACAATTGTTCAAAACTAAGCAGAAAAATAATTTGCTCTATTAGGGGTCATTGTCTTTCTTAAAAGAGAAGGAATCTCAGAAGGCTAGCCACAATAACTGATAGGAACTAGAATTGAGGACAAACTGTCATAAAATCCTATAAAAAATAAMCTCATCTACTTTTAAAACTAGTAACAGTACTAATAAACTACTATAAAATTGGTATATTTTAAAATATATGGTAAAATAATATGCTATGACTAGTTCAGAGAGAAGTGGGGGAAGAGAGAGAAAGGGAAAGGAAACAAAAGAGACTAGCATGGAACTAAGTATATAGAGAATAGGAATCAAAGACAGCTAACTCATTAAACAGTACCTAAGAAAGATGAGTAAAAATGCTAAAGATAAAAACACAATGATCCATTTTACAATGAAATTAGGAAAACTCAAGACATAAAGTCAAAATACTGCTTTGCAGAATAAACAGGAAACAGAAATATGTGTATGTGTGTGTGTTTCCTAGGATTGGTAAATTCTGTCAAAGTATCAGTTATACACCAAAGCACAACTCCCTGAATTTTCTCAAAGTAAACACAGTTATGTGACCAGAACTGAGACTAAGCAAAAAAACACTACCAATCCCAGCAGCCCCTACCCTCCTGGGGATATGCATTAAAACAAGAAAACCTCACAATGCTCCTTAAATAATTTAGAACATATGAGAAAAGGCAAAAAAAAAAAAAATATTAGTACTAGAATCACAGTTCGATTTAATTAAAATCTTCTTCTGAATACCAACAACTCCATTCTCTAAAAAGAAACAGACCACTCAAGGGAGCCCATTTAAGTTACTTTCATTTTTGGCTCCCAGTCTGAGATCAGAATAAAAAATATGACCTCTACTTTCATCTTTATCTTTCCTGATATCTCCTGCTTTTCTCCTGAACCAATATTCAGCATTTAACAACTCTTTACTATTCTCCAATATTATCTTGGTTAAAGTTTTCATTCTGTAGAATTCAACTTGGTTTCTGTAAGGTATCGCACTAGCACTATTCTCACCATTAGAATTTTAGAAAGAGAAAAACTCCAATACTGTATAATTCTTAATGTCACTGCAATCTATAGTAAAATCAACAATATACACAAAAGACTAGGGTGTGATTAATCATGGTAAAATCATTAACAATCTGGTATAAGAGGAAAAGACACCAAGGGAGGAAAAGAATGAGAACCAATTTATCCATTAAACAATTAACAATACATAATATAATGTTAATGTACTAAAAACAACTCACTGGCAGCTAGGCAARGGAAAGATTAGATGAGAAGTGAAAAGGGAATGGTCTAGATTCCCTATTCCAGGTGTGGTCCTCAAACTAGCAGCAGCAGCATTACCTGGYAATGTGTTAGAAATACAGAAACTCAGGTCCCACCAAAGACATACTGAAATAAATCTGTATTTTGAGATCCTCAGATAATTTATATACACATCAAAATCTGAGTGTTCCTGAACTAGAGGACAAAAAAGGAGTTGAAAAGGTACTGCAATTCCCTCATAAGGCCTGGAACCAAGGAGGCTAGTGGAGAAGAAAGGACATTCATGTATCTGTACTTGAAAATGCAAATTAACCATAAATTTCTTTGCTCATCAAGTACTCTTTTGATAATAATCTCTCAATTTCTGACTGGGATTAAAAAGAGAAAAACAAGTTAGTAAAATAGCACTTACATATTATAATCTTAAATTAGAGAATTGCATTTTGGTCTACAAATATAATATTTACTTATTTATTCATTTATTTTGATATTGGAGATTCAACCCAGGGCCTCATGCACACTAAGCATATGCTTTACCATTGAGCTACCCACTGCCGGTCTCAACAAATTATTTTTTAWATAATAAAAATTTCCATTTTTACAAGTGATAAGGCATAAGGAAAACAAATTTACATATAATTTTCAAGTGAAATTTTCCCAAACATTTAATAAGCTCTACCAAAATCACAAAATATAATACTTTCAGTATTTCTATTCCTTTGTTGTAATGATCTTTAGATCACTTAAAATTCAGTATAATGAGAAAGTAAGTAGTAGATGATACCAAAGATTGCTGTTAATTTTGCTAAAAGGACAATCAATTATGGTTGTATAAGGAAATCTCTTTTTTTCAGAAACTTACAATAAAATACATGAGGATAGATAAATTTGCTTTAAACATTCTTAATAAAGAATATAGAAAGTAGATATGGTGAAATCTTGAGAATTGCTGACTCTTAACTCAGGGGTTGGCAAACTATAGCTCACAGACTGTTCCTGTATGGCTTATACTAACAAAGAATATGTAGCAGAGGCCAAATGTTACCCTCACTGCCTAAAAATATTTACTAGCAGGGCCTTTACAGAAAAGGTTTACAGATCTGTATTCTGGATGATGGTCATATGAGTTTGTGCTTTTTCTTGGGGTGGGGGTTCTATGTGGGTTAGAAATTTATCATAATAAAAAGATCTTAAGATAACAATCTTTTTCCACAGCAAAGACAGGCAAATCCAAGTAAATCCCAATAATGCTTTAATAAAAACAAAGCAGAAAGCCACTACACAATTTGTTAAAGATTYTGAACACACTTTAAACAATAAAAAGGGATTTCTCATTCAAAAAGATAATTATGTTCTAAACTCTGTTCTAGGGCTAAGAGATATGGACAGATATTATTCTGTCTGAATAAATAAGACAAAATTCTAGTACTGCTATGCTTACATTTCTTGTTTTAATCACAAATATTCTATCTTCCTCCCTTTCAGTATGATCAAGTATCTTACTGCATATAAAAACTAAACATTCAGATGTATATTTGTTTTTACTTCAAATAAGCAAACAAAAATACTCAAAAGGCTAATAGCTTTTTAAAAATCTAATAATGAGGCAATACTTACTGGGGATCCAAAGTTATGTCCAACTTCATGAGCAAAAGTAATATGAGAGACTTTGGGAGGTACATGGGACCCATAGTTTTGAACAGTAATAATTCCAGTGTTTAAGGATTTCTTCTTACCATCTGAATACAGCTTACTTTTTTCACATATTCCTCCAGAGCTTCCTAATTCAGAACATCACCACCAAAAACAAAAACAAAATTAAATCAGTTATCTATTCCATTTCTTCCCCAAAAGAGCTAATATTAAACAGCTATATAAACCTAAAATACAATTGGTATCCAAATGTATCAAACACTCAAAAGTTCTTTTAGTCTAAGATTAAAAACTATTTCAAATAAGGTTTTAATAGCACCCATAAACAAATTCCCAGGATTGTGTACATAACTCTTTTTTTCATCTAAATAAAAACTGCTTTACTTCTTTTAACAACATTAACATTTTTAAATAAAAATGTATTGTTTATTGATTAATCCGTGTATTTTTTAAAAACACTGAAAGGCTAACTGGAAACTGTTGTGTAAGCCTTCACATACTATATTGTCATTAGTTGTTATATTTTGACAGATTGTAARGTTTTGAAAACTGGGGTCCAAGTCATGTTCACCTATATATTTCYAACATCTACTACAGTGCGTGTTACTTAAATGATGTTCAAATGTGTGTTGAATTTAATTTTTAAAAGAAGTGTTCCTACTTGGTCCCACAAAGCCATAGGCACCTGCTCCACTACAAAACCCCGTTCTCGGTATTCTCCAGAGTATCAGATATATGCACAGATGCACAARGTGATTAGGGACCGTCACATTACATTGCACTGACTTGCTATGATGTCCAAACCAATGGTATACATAATCCTTATACAATGTTTTTTAGCATCAGAAATCCTCAAATTTTTGTTCTCATTAATTCAGCAAAAACAATATTTATATTTCCTTTAAATCTGAATATGTAAGTATTTACACTGAGTCAAAACCTAATACCTTTTCATCTTTATAAAGCAAATTTACAGGGCTGGGGTTATGGTTTAGCGGTGGAGCACTCGCTTAGGTTCAATCCTCAGCACCGCATAAAAATAAATAAATAAAATAAAGGTATTGTGTTCGA